CTTCAACCGTGTTATGAGTGTTGATGTTTTATAGTTTGTCCACCAAAGGGCATAAATGTTTGCAACGCCACAAGCATAAGAATGAGTTAATCTGAGCAGCCAGTCAGAGCATAAATGAGTAAATAAATAAGAACCCATACCAAATGTTAGCAAAATCTGTTTTTGCTTCATGTGTGTGAAAGAAAACCGGTGTAGAATATTGGATTTTTAAATCACCAAATATCTCTATCGTTCTCAAAACTCTTATTTCACTTGAGCATAGATTTATTCATTGATAGAGTAAAAAATCTATTGAATGTTTGGAATAATAATATCATACTTTTAATATGAAATTTTAATATCTGCATCCGTAAAGCATATTTTGCAGTTCATGTTACCCCTAACATAAATCTACACCATCTACATCACTCTATAATATATAGAGATTTATGTCTATATAAAATGCAGGTCCCCGAAATCCTTTGCCTGTGTGACTGTATCGTCATGCAGCCGTAGCGCCCGAGGTTTAGCACTGTCAGAAGTCCTCATCATTCACTTTTGTCATTTGAACAGCAGGGTGCAGCATATAACAGCATTTTAATATTTTCACCATCAATGATTCTTACCTACATACAACATACCTAAATGGATATAGAAACAGATAATACATTTTTAGGACCATTGTTTAGCGTTTACTGAAATTTAAGATGGCACACAGCTACTCCGACACTACCCCGGCAGCTTACAAAGGAATAAGATAACTTATTCTGATTCACTTCAACCTTATCGTGATGAGTTAGGACGAGAACAACAAAATGCTGAAACATTAAGTGGTAGTAAAAAGAAACAGCTGACTAAACACTGAAAAACTAATTAGGTTAACTGGCAACAGGTCAGTAACTTGATTGGATATAAAAAAGTACATCTTAGGCAGAGTTTTTCAGAAGTAAAGATGGACACAGGTTCCAAGATTTGCAAAAGACTACAGATTGTGTAACAATTTCAGAATAATGTTCCTCAGTGAATAATTGTGAAGATTCAAAATCTAGAGATATCTCTGTATGCCAGGAACAAGGCCAAAATTAAATATTAGATTACTGTGATCTGCAGGCCCTTAGCAGCATTGCATAAAAAAAAAAAGGCATTACCACTGACTGGGTTCAGAAACACTTTCAGAAATCACTGTCTGTGAACACACTTCAAGTTAAAGCTCCATCACTCAAAAAAGAAGCCATTTGTGAACATGATCCAGAAAAGAAACCTTCTTCTCTGAGCCAATGCTCATTTAAAATGGACCAAGGAAAATGCAAAACTGTTCTGTGGTCAGAGAAATGGAATTTTGAAATTCTCTTTTGGAAAACATGGATGTCACATTCTCTGGAGTAAACAGGGGAGGCACCATCCAGCTTGTATTCAGCTCTCAGTTTAAAGGCGAGCACTTCTGATGGTCTGGGGTGCATTAGTGCTTATGGAATTAACAGCTTGAAAATCTGGAAAGGCACCACAAATGCTTCCATCCAAACGGTGTCCTTTCAGGGGAAGGTCTTGCATACTTCAGTAGGACAGTCCTAAACTGCATACTGCATCTATTACAGCATTACAATAGAGATGTGCCATCAAATCTATATCTGCCTCAGTTTTCTTTTTCTTAAACTGTACATTTTCTCAGTTTAAACATTTGATGTTTTATTTGGTCTATTGTGAATGCATATTGGTTTATGAATGTATGAAAATCATTGCATTGTTTTATTTGTATTTTAAACATGGTTGCAACTTGCAATATGGGTTCTATTATTTATTTAAAATTGTGCAGAATTGTAATATAGTGTAGTGAATGATATGAGAGTTTTCAAGACCGTGTTACAAAAGAGACTGATATTCATTAGCTACCCCTTTAATGTAATAAAATCTTATTATCAGCACTTTTAATGACATTTTTGGTTTCATTTGCCAGACAAAGGTGTAGCCATGGACATCGGTGGCTTGGAGACTGTAGTGGCAAACTCTGCCTATGTGTCAGCCCGTGGCAGCATTGATGGAGCTTCAGCAGCTGCGCTGCGTGACAAAAAGATGCGTGCCAGACTGAAACTCCCACATATCAGAAATTGTGAACACATGAAAGCAACACTAGACACCACCTTTGACAGCATGTGTGTCAAGCAACCCATCGGCAAGCGTCTCTTCCAGCAATATCTGGAGAGTGATGCAACCCATAAAAATGCCGGAGAGCTGTGGAAAGACATTGAAGAATATGTCGTGTGCCAGGAGAAGGACAGACTGCAGAAGGCTCAAATGATGGTCAATAAATACTATCAATCAGCTTCAAAGAATTTTTGCACTTTCCTAGAGGAAAAGGCCATCATTCGAGTTAAAGAAGACCTCAAGAATGTCCGTGGTGACTTATTTAAGGAGAGTGAACAAGAGCTGCTCAAGCACTTGGAAAAAGTGGCCATAGATGGCTTTAAGAACAGCATGTACTTCCTGCGTTTTGTTCAATGCAAATGGATGGAGAGCCAGCCGTTTGATGAAGAGTGGTTCATGGACTTCCGGGTACTGGGTAAAGGAGGTTTTGGCGAAGTGTTTGCTTGTCAGGCAAAGGCAACAGGCAAAATGTATGCGAACAAGAAGCTAGACAAAAAGAGGCTGAAGAAACGCAAAGGCTATGAGGTAAAATGCTAAGACTTCACAAAGCGGTTCATTGTGTCAAGAAAGCATTCAGAGTTGTAATGAACATATACAGCTAAACAGTTGTTTTCAGCAATGGTTGATTTGATCTCAGCACAGGCTGCACATGCACATAGTTTTATGTACTCTACCTGCAATGTGTCAAGAAATCAGAATCAGAAAGTTAACCTTCAAAGCGTCCTTTGAAGTGTACAAAAGCCATTATGAATAGTATTTGTTGCTTCTCTAGGTTCCCTGCAGTAGTAAGACAGAATGTCATATAAGGGGAAAAAAGGGCAATGAATCTCTCTGGCTTACATGGACCTGTGTATAACAATCTATTATTAATTTATAGAAGTAAAATAATACAAATTATCTGTTTGGCTTGACATTAGATGTAGGGCCTCCTGACATTTCACATTCTTGGTTTTGTTGCGTTAATCATGTTTGCTAATGTTTAATTTCTCTTTAGGGAGCAATTGTGGAGAAGCGCATCCTTGCAAAAGTTCACAGTCGGTTCATTGTGACGCTGGCTTATGCCTTCCAGACCAAGACAGACCTTTGCCTGGTTATGACCATCATGAATGGTGGTGATTTAAGGTGCTAGATCAAAATCAGTTACAGCAAAAATATGCACACATCAACCTAAACACTATGACTTGCTATGACGTGCTAGTTTCTGTAGTTAACATGGGTGAAGGATCCAGTCCCCTCAAATAAGTTTGTAAAAAAAAAGTCAATATTATGTCCTTTCTTGCAGGTTTCACATGTACAACGTCGATGAAAAAAATCCTGGTTTTGATGAGAAGAGAACATGTTTCTATACAGCTCAGATCATCTGTGGACTGGAACACCTTCATCAGCACAGAATCGTATACAGAGATCTGAAGCCAGAAAATGTACTTCTTGATGATGCAGGTAAGGAATTAAGTCTCCAACGCTTAATCTGTTTTCCATTTGTCTGTTTATATTGTCAATTCACTGCCAAAATCTTTTAATCTCTGTCCAAACCTGTCCTGAGATTAGGGTTGGTTTTTTTTGTTGTTTTATTTTTTAAAGAGAAATCACATGCAGGTAGCGCCCAATCACAAAGCCCTAAATGACCAGTAGGTAAATGATGTCCAAACTGTCCATATGCTACTGCTGTAATCAAAGCCTTTTTACTTAGGACATGTCCGCCTGTCAGATTTGGGTCTGGCTGTTGAACTTCCACCAGGAAAAGATACAACTTCTGGATATGCTGGGACTCCAGGTAAGTCATTTAACTCCTGTTATACCTGAAGATAAAGTTGCACTTATCAGCCTCCTTAGATACACCTTTGATATCAATTTTAAAATCTTATGTTCCCTTGTTCTCGGGTTTGTGCATTCACAAACTTGGGTGAATGCCCATCTGCCCACATAAGCCTTTCAGGGCTGAGGGGTAAAAACTATCATATTGGAGAAAAAAGTGTAGCCTTCAGGTTAATGCTGCCAGCTCAAACATCTTTACCAACATGTAGATCGCATTTCTGGACTATTGTGTGTGAAACTGTGTTACATGTTAATACAGGTTTCATGGCACCAGAGCTGCTTCAGAAGAAGCAGTATGATTACTCTGTGGACTACTTTACTCTGGGAGTCACGGTGTATGAGATGATTGCTGCCAAAGGACCTTTTAGAGTGCGAGGAGAAAAGGTGCTTTACATACATCCTCTCTTCTCCTGCTTGTCCTTCTTGACGGTTCTCTGTGCCTAATAAAATGTATATAATGTTGTTTCTTCAGGTCGAGAATGACGAGGTAGCTCACAGAATTCTAAACGATCCAGTTTCTTACACACCAAAATTCAGCAAAGAATGCAAAGACATCTGCGAGGGCCTGATGGAGAAGGATCCCACTAAACGACTGGGCTTCAAAAATAACGAGTGCGCAGAGCTCAAGAATCAACCATTTTTCAAAGACATTAACTGGGGACGTCTAGAAGCAGGTGATGAAAAAATATCATCGACAAGCGCACGTATTTCCTAATTACGTGTCTATTGAAAACGATGCTCATTTGTTTATCTCTTGTGTTTCATCTAAAGGAATGCTACCTCCACCATTTGTCCCCGATCCTAAAATGGTCTATGCCAAAGATATTGATGATGTGGGGGCCTTCAGCACAATCAAAGGTGTGGTCCTGGATGACAAGGACACTGAGTTCTACAATGACTTTGCGTCTGGCAACGTCCCAATACCCTGGCAGGAGGAAATGGTTGAGACTGGTGTGTTTGGAGAGCTGAATATCTGGGGAGAGAAGGGGCAGTTGCCCAATGACCTTGACCCTAATTATGTGGAAGCCAAAGGGGGGGGATGTGTACTGCTTTGAATTTAGATGGATGCAAAACATATATACTTCTAATTTTTAAGATCAGTAATTTGTACAACAATCTGTTATTGATGTATTTAATTTATATTATATTGTTATTATTTATGTAGAATTTGCATGCAAATATTTTATCTACTTATGATGTAATATCTATGGTATTTATAGAATATATAGAAAAGTACAGCAGGGTGAAATAACACATAGCTGAAATATAATGTTGTCAAAACATATGTTGCACTAATTGCATTGGTAAGATTTTTATTCAGTAATTATAGAAAAGCTAACTGTATAGAAATCACATGCAATGCAATCTGTATTGACAATGTAGTAATATGTTTTTATCCTTTATGTATTTATTATTAAGAAACAGGATTTAAGTAATTATTACAGGAAACATTTTAGATGGAAGAGTTAAAAGCAATCAATAAAACCTTCAGAAGGGCAAGAGTTGGTTCTTTTCATTTGTAACTTTCTGGCCTGCATTTGAATTTATATGAATATATATGGTGACAAAATGTCCAGCTTGTGCTTATGACAAAATGTGGAAAAGCCAAAAAAAATTACTTTATTTGCCATTGTGAATGCAACACCAAATCTTCCATCCATCAGTGTCTTTGGACTGTGGGAGGGAAGCCGGAGCATCCAGAGTGAATCCATCTAGTCAGAGGTAGAAGGTGCAAACTCCACATAGAAAAGCCCCAGCCTGCAATCAAACCCAGGACCTTCCTTCTCTAAGGTTACATTGTTAACCAACACAACAGTACTGCCCGAGACCAAATCAGCAGATTAAATTTCATTACACGTTTACCAGCTGCAGCAAAACTGTGTTGACATTTCACTGATTATTTACTCGCTTCTACAAAGAGGGGGTTTGTTCTTACTGAGAAAAGGAAAGACAAGGATTTACTAAACTAGTTGGAAAAAAATGAATGACTCACTGTCGGTCAGAACAGTATGTTATTGAAGGACATTTGTCTTGTTTGTCTCGAGTGGAACACGTTTCTTACTGATGCTGACCTTAATTACACCATTCTGCGTAATTGTTGAAATAAATTATTAACCATCTGATAATGATGAAAATCATGATACAAATTTGATGACGTGTTCCCCGAACAAACCTGCAATAAATCTGTTTTCTTTTTGATGTTTTAACCAAACCCTACAGCAACAGATTATCAATTATTTTATCTACATTTCTGAAACTCAAATGATTTTTTCTGTTGCATTTACCTTGAATAACACAGGATACAAATAATTGATTTTCCTTCTAATGAAATCCATGCTTATCCATCCAATTAACCAAACTCGCATGTTTTTGGTCAAGAGGACACCGATGAAGATGAAGAAGAAAAAACAAACAAACACAAAACACAGAGAGAACATGCGAACGCTAACAGTTAATGCAGCTTACCATTTATTGAGGACAAGTAACTATCAAAAATGTAAAAAAAACAATTGCTTGTGAACAATTCAATATAAAAGAGAAAGACCAGAAGTACTCAGAGAGTGCAGATCTCCACCAGAGCCGCTCATTGTCTGGGCAGTACTTTTAAGGCAATAGTACTGTATTTGTATCTCAGTTTTTCTTTGTTCTTTATAAACTATTTAACTATGTTACTTTAAAATTTCACAAATGGAACATTCTATTCTTTTGTACAAAATTAAAAACTATGGTATTGAGAAGGTATATTTTAAAAACCACTGCCATAACTTTCCTTTCTAATTAAGCCTCATGAAAAGTTCTTGTTTCATTAAAAAACAAAAACAAACAAACAAACAAACAGGTATGTTCAGCTTTTGGTTACTTCAACTATGTGATATTTTACAAGAAAATTGGAAATTCATGTATTATTAATTGTTGTTCTATCTTGCAATGTAATGCTCCTGAAATGGATTGCGTGTTACCTTAACATGCAAATTTTCCATAATTTTTTTTTAAAGTTTTGGAATATACGTATTTCAGAGGAAATTTAACCTTGTACAGAGAAAGAAATTTAAAATCAATCACCCTGTAACTTTTTTACATAGCAAATGTTGCTTGACAGGACGATGAACCTATCACTATGTTGAAAGTTTTGTGCTGTCATAAGTTTAGCAAGTAATCAACAAACAAGTGCACCCACACGCAGACACACATGCTGTCTGGTTATGGTGATTGCCTGTGGAAAAAAATAAGAATGTGCGAGAGAGAAAGAGAAAGCGAGAGATGGGGAAATGTCGAGTACCGTACTAGTAAAACCAGTACTGACGCAGTTACTTCATCAAAATTCTGGTATCTTCAGCACACAAAACCTGACCGAGGTTTAAATATGCTGCATTGTTAAATAGCTTTTGCTGAATTTACCAGATTACCAAACCACGTATGAATCATCCCCTAAAATTGAAACAGGGGATGATTCATATGTGTTGTTCAGTTAAGTAATATTTTCAATTATGAAAGTCATTTAAATAGACAACCAAAGAAAATCACTTCAGATAGTCTCAAGCTACACATGCGAATTTTGTGCATTTGAACAATCTGTGCAATGCAGCTTATTAATTACAGGTCAATTAATCATTAGATAACCACAATGTACCTGATAGAAATCACCACACACCCATACACAAGTCAGAAACAATGACTATGCTTTGATTTTGGCTATATTTAGATGTAAAATAATCATCCAGAAATAAAGTTAAGCAATGTCTCATTTACACCTTATCAGCAGATTTGTCGTTAACTGAATGGTTGTGCTGCTCCTCATTGACTGCTTCTTTATGATATTTACAGATCTCTTCTAGGAACGGTGTGGAATAGGAAACCCTGCCTAGAAGCTAACTTGGATTTAAATACATTGACAGTGAAACAACATTTGGAGCAGAGTTGAAAGCCGGGGGTACAAAAGCATGGCACATATCCAGTAATTACAGCTGAAACGTGAAAGGGATATGCAACGCTTGCAGTAAATTAACTTGCTATAACTAGGTGAAATTTAACACCTTCACTTAAAATCTTTGAAATAATAAAAATAAAATTGTATCTTAAATTATTTTGTCTTGAATAAGAAAATGAAGGGATTAGAGTTAGGGTTGATTTTAAACATCAAGTCCGGCTACTTGTCTAATTCAGTTCAATTTTCCCTTTAAGCAAAGAGGTCAGTGCGGACACAAGTAAATCAGTATTTAAATTTATAGAGAGGAGGGCAGGGAGATAATTCCTCTTCAGTACTGTAAGTATATGACAGTACTTTGAACTATGCTTTTGATTGCTGGCAGCAAAAGAGAATTCCCATTTGATAAGATACAGACTTAAAGGGGTGATTTGAAGTTTCTTAGAAACTAAGAATTGCTTGAGTCAAAGATGGTAAACACATCACCATTCATTATGAGAAGCCACATTCACGGACAGTCGGGGAGATTTGCATGTGCAAAAAATTAATTTAAAACAAACATACATTTCATATATATTGTACAGTATAGATAAATTCTGGACTTTTTTACATTTCCATACATTTTTCCTCATGTGTAGACACTAATGAATTACAAGGTTGAGTTGTAGCAGCCAGGCCTTTGTGCAGATTCTTTTAGGTGACAGCTCTGCACTTTTTCACGCTAATGTTTCAACAGAACAGACATTTTTGGATCGATATGCTGTATCACTTTAAAAAAGTATTTACAAATGTTAGGAATTTGAACGGGTCTTTTTTCCTGCTGCAAAATTGTTAATGTTTAACTAGCAAAAATATACTTTTCTGTCCTTTATAAATCACCTAAGCAACTTCAAGTGTTTGCTTTACTGTTAATTCAGCATTTCCCCCCTAAGTATTTGCCCATGGAACTTGAAATAGCCTCATTAAAATTAAAAGTTACCAACTCCTCAGAAACAGGACACAGACAGAAGGACAAGTGACTGGAAAAAAAACTGGAACTGGAACTGCTGCAAAACATTCTTAATAATACAAACAGTTAATGTTTTATGAACATGCTCCATGTTTACTTACATTTCTATGGCAACTTGCCTACCATGTGTAATGTCATGTATTTTGGGCGGGATTAGCACACTTATATTGTAGCTACAGGCTATAAAGCAATGCGGATATTAGTCCAGGTACCAGTGCATGAGAAAAAAAAATCCTGAGTCAGTTCTCACATTCCCAAAATGTGTATCAGATACTGACGTCGCAACTAGAACTGCTCCAATTATTATTACTTCTACTAATTATTAATAAAAATTCCTGCCAAGATGAACACGCTCATTGAAGTCGTAGCACTTTTTCTAGGTTTTGTTAGTTGGATATTGACTCTTATAACACTAGAAGATCAGCACTGGAGGGAATCCAGTCAAGACGGGAGTGTTATATTAACTTCTAATCTCTATGAGAACCTATGGATGTCTTGTGCAAGTGACTCAACGGGGAACTATAACTGTCGTGACTTTCCATCCCTTTTTGCTCTTCCAGGTAAGTAAAGTTTTAATTTTTTACATAATATTTTTTTCATCTTCCAAAATACACCATTTACAATAATTTAATTAGGTAACTAATATAAAATTACTTGGGATTATATGCATAGCTTGCATATTCTCATATATGTATTTTTATTCTCTTGATGATTTAGCAAATTTTACAATGATACTGAAAGAAATGCTTAATATGAAATAATAATCAAATAATCTTCATAAAAGCCAAAAAAATAAATAAATACAATATCTGCCACAGGCTGTAATCTGAAGGGGTGACAGAAAAAATAAACAGCATCTGTCCAGTCTAAACAAACCTTTTGCCAAATTTCTCATGTAAGTTTATTTTTGCCATGTGTGTAAACGCAATGTTCAAAACCATTTTAGGGTTGGTGGTACTTCACTCCATTACAGAACGAGTAAAACTTGTTTTTAGCAATGCTCAGAGATAACATGGTCATTTTAGCCAATTTAGTTTAAAACTGTTTGGAAGAGAGAACATTTTGAAGTTAAATGCTTCTTTTATTCATTACCAAACGCTGGGATCCTAAAAGACTAATAATGAATCTGTCTGATTTGCAGACAGGCAAGCAGACTTGACTTAGGGTCATAATGCAACTATGCATCCTCATCATCTATTACCACAGCTGTTACCATCATCCCTTGTAGAGAGAGTGAAATGAGGAGCCAAAGCATGGCTTGAATCCCATCAATAAATAGTTAATAACATTGGCACAGGACTTAAACCAAATGGCAAAAGGTGACGTAGCTTTAAATATAGACATTGGTAAGCACCTCTCTGTGGCCCCGTAAGTTGGGTAACATTTTGAGTCTTTGAAAAGTTTGAATAGAACTCAGAATAAAGGGAATGTTGAGTGGGTGAGCTGGAATTAATCATTCATTTGTACTTTTTGTAGTAGCTTAGCAGGAAAATTTTCTGACACATTGAGGCTCGGTGGCTAACAACTTCAAGATTGTGTGGGAACATAGTTTGGAGATGAACGTTTACGTCTATTTTTCGTTATAAACCCAATAGTGGAAGCTTTTGCTTTATTTCTGGGCTTTCACAGTTGGATAATGATCAGGGTCGCCCTTCCAAATCGATACTGGAAGGAATTTACAGTGGATGGTAATGTTATCTCACCCCATCAACAAGGAAAATCTATGGATGTCCTGCGCAACTGACTCTACAGGAGTTAATTATTGCCGTGATTTCCCATCTTTGCTTGCGCTTAGTGGTATGTGGTCAACACATAAATGTTCTTGTTTTGTTTTTTAGTTTTATTAAGTTAAGTACTTATTAATTAATCAATTAAGAATTCATCTGGCTTAGCTACTCAAGCCCAAGACTTTCCAAGTAAGATTTTATCTGAAATCATCTTAAACTATGTTGTAAAAATCAGCTCTTGTAACAGAGGACTTTAAAAAAAATCATTAATAACAAATAATTAAACAGTCTGACATTAAATGATACACAACGGTAAAAAAGGTTGATCCTTTTTATGAATGTTTTCATCAACATTTTACTTGTTCAGGGTGTGTCTGTCGTTTACTTGTCTGGATTTTCTACTGTACTAAGTACTGGTGAACAGAGTAACTGCAATAGAAAATCCAGAAAAAAAAATGCAATAAAAACTTTGACTGAATTATAATTAATCAATGCCCATTTAGCAATTAGCATCTACTTTGGTTTTTATTTCTTAAGTCACTGTTTAAGAATCAAGTTATACAAAGTGACATACAGTGGGGCAAAAAAGTATTTAGTCAGCCACCGATTGTGCAAGTTCCCCCACTTAAAATGATGACAGAGGTCAGTAATTTGCACCAGAGGTACACT